CCCTGACCTTGACACAATATAATACCCACAAGATCCCTGACCTTGACACAATATGATACCCACAAGATCCCTGACCTTAACACAATATGATACCCACAAGATCCCTGACCTTAACACAATATGATACCCACAAGATCCCTGACCTTAACACAATATGATACCCACAAGATCTCTGACCTTGACACAATATGATACCCACAAGATCCCTGATCTTGACACAATATGATACCCACAAGGTCCCTGATCTTGACACAATATGATACCCACAAGATCCCTGACCTTGCCACAATAGGATACCCACAAGATCCCTGACCTTGACACAATATGATACCCACAAGATCCCTGATCTTACCACAATATGATACCCACAAGGTCCCTGATCTTGACACAATATGATATCCACAAGTCCCTGACCTTGCCACAATATGATACCCACAAGATCCCTGACCTTGACACAATATGATACCCACAAGATCCCTGATCTTGACACAATATGATACCCACAAGGTCCCTGATCTTGACACAATATGATACCCACAAGATCCCTGACCTTGCCACAATATGATACCCACAAGATCCCTGATCTTACCACAATATGATACCCACAAGGTCCCTGATCTTGACACAATATGATATCCACAAGATCCCTGACCTTGCCACAATATGATACCCACAAGATCCCTGATCTTGACACAATATGATACCCACCAGATCCCTGATCTTGACATAATATGATACCCACAAGATCTCTGACCTTGGGAACAATATGATACCCACAAGATCCCTGACCTTGACACAATATGATACCCACAAGATCCCTGACCTTGACACAATATGATACCCACAAGATCCCTGACCTTGACACAATATGATACCCACAAGATCCCTGATCTTGACACAATATGATACCCACAAGATCCCTAAACTTGACACCCACAAGATCCCTGATCTTGACAAAATACGATACCCACAAGATCCCTGATCTTGACACAATATGATACCCACAAGGTCCCTGATCTTGACACAATATGATACCCACAAGATCCCTGACCTTGCCACAATAGGATACCCACAAGATCCCTGATCTTGACACAATATGATACCCACAAGATCCCTGATCTTACCACAATATGATACCCACAAGGTCCCTGATCTTGACACAATATGATATCCACAAGATCCCTGACCTTGCCACAATATGATACCCACAAGATCCCTGATCTTGACACAATATGATACCCACAAGATCCCTGATCTTGACACAATATGATACCCACAAGATCTCTGACCTTGACACAATATGATACCCACAAGATCCCTGACCTTAACACAATATGATACCCACAAGATCCCTGACCTTAACACAATATGATACCCACAAGATCCATGACCTTGACACAATATGATACCCACAAGACCCCCTGACCTTGACACAATATGATACCCACAAGATCCCTGACCTTAACACAATATGATACCCACAAGATCTCTGACCTTGACACAATATAATACCCACAAGATCCCTGACCTTAACACAATATGATACCCACAAGATCCCTGACCTTAACACAATATGATACCCACAAGATCCCTGACCTTAACACAATATGATACCCACAAGATCTCTGACCTTGACTCAATATGATACCCACAAGATCCCTGACCTTGACACAATATGATACCCATAAGATCCCTGATCTTGACACAATATGATACCCACAAGGTCCCTGATCTTGACACAATATGATACCCACAAGATCCCTGACCTTGCCACAATAGGATACCCACAAGATCCCTGACCTTGACACAATATGATACCCACAAGATCCCTGATCTTACCACAATATGATACCCACAAGGTACCTGATCTTGACACAATATGATATCCACAAGATCCCTGACCTTGCCACAATATGACACCCACAAGATCCCTGATCTTGACACAATATGATACCCACAAGATCCATGATCTTGACACAATATGATACCCACAAGATCTCTGACCTTGACACAATATGATACCCACAAGATCCCTGACCTTAACACAATATGATACCCACAAGATCACTGACCTTGACACAATATGATACCCACAAGATCCCTGACCTTGACACAATATGATACCCACAAGATCCCTGACCTTGACACAATATAATACCCACAAGATCCCTGACCTTGACACAATATGATACCCACAAGATCCCTGACCTTAACACAATATGATACCCACAAGATCCCTGACCTTAACACAATATGATACCCACAAGATCCCTGACCTTAACACAATATGATACCCACAAGATCTCTGACCTTGACACAATATGATACCCACAAGATCTCTGATCTTGACACAATATGATACCCACAAGGTCCCTGATCTTGACACAATATGATACCCACAAGATCCCTGACCTTGCCACAATAGGATACCCACAAGATCCCTGACCTTGACACAATATGATACCCACAAGATCCCTGATCTTACCACAATATGATACCCACAAGGTCCCTGATCTTGACACAATATGATATCCACAAGATCCCTGACCTTGCCACAATATGATACCCACAAGATCCCTGACCTTGACACAATATGATACCCACAAGATCCCTGATCTTGACACAATATGATACCCACAAGGTCCCTGATCTTGACACAATATGATACCCACAAGATCCCTGACCTTGCCACAATAGGATACCCACAAGATCCCTGACCTTGACACAATATGATACCCACAAGATCCCTGATCTTACCACAATAGGATACCCACAAGGTCTCTGATCTTGACACAATATGATATCCACAAGATCCCTGACCTTGCCACAATATGATACCCACAAGATCCCTGACCTTGCCACAATATGATACCCACAAGATCCCTGATCTTGACACAATATGATACCCACAAGATCCCTGACCTTGACACAATATGATACCCACAAGATCCCTGACCTTGACACAATATGATACCCACAAGATCCCTGATCTTACCACAATATGATACCCACAAGGTCTCTGATCTTGACACAATATGATATCCACAAGATCCCTGACCTTGCCACAATATGATACCCACAAGATCCCTGATCTTGACACAATATGATACCCACAAGATCCCTGACCTTGACACAATATGATACCCACAAGATCCCTGACCTTGACACAATATGATACCCACCAGATCCCTGATCTTGACATAATATGATACCCACAAGATCTCTGACCTTGACACAATATGATACCCACAAGATCCCTGACCTTTACACAATATGATACCCACAAGATCCCTGACCTTGACACAATATGATACCCACAAGATCCCTGACCTTGACACAATATGATACCCACAAGATCCCTGACCTTGACACAATATGATACCCACAAGATCCCTGACCTTGACACAATATGATACCCACAAGATCCCTGACCTTGACACAATATGATACCCACATGATCTCTGACCTTGACACAATATGATACCCACAAGATCCCTGACCTTAACACAATATGATACCCACAAGATCTCTGACCGTGACACAATATGATACCCACAAGATCCCTGACCTTAACACAATATGATACCCACAAGATCCCTGACCTTAACACAATATGATACCCACAAGGTCCCTGACCTTGACACAATATGATACCCACAAGGTCCCTGATCTTGACACAATATGATACCCACAAGATCCCTGACCTTGCCACAATATGATGCCCACAAGATCCCTGATCTTGACACAATATGATACCCACAAGATCCCTGACCTTGCCACAATATGATACCCACAAGATCCCTGATCTTGACACAATATGATACCCACAACATCCCTGATCTTGACACAATATGATACCCACAAGGTCCCTGATCTTGACACAATATGATACCCACAAGATCCCTGACCTTGCCACAATATGATACCCACAAGATCCCTGATCTTGACACAATATGATACCCACAAGATCCCTGATCTTGACACAATATGATACCCACAAGATCCCTGATCTTGACACAATATGATAACCACAAGATCCCTGATCTTGACACAATATGATACCCACAAGATCCCTAAACTTGACACAATATGATACCCACAAGATCCCTGACCTTGACTCAATATGATACCCACAAGATCCCTGACCTTGACATAATATGATACCCACAAGATCCCTGACCTTGACACAATATGATACCCACAAGATCCCTTACCTTGACTCAATATGATACCCACAAGATCCTTGATCTTGACACATTGTAACAGCCAAAAATGCAGAAACAAAAATAAATATTAAAAACAGTTGGACTAAAGAAAATAAAGAAATACTTAAAAAGCATTTATTCAAATAATGACTAATCAACTCTGCAGTAGCAGCGGATGCAGTGGCTAGGGCGTCTGAGGCAGGAACATCTATCCCAGGCTCAAATGTCCAAATACAGAAACGGATCAGGATCAGACAATCAGAACACTATAGTAACACTAGAGAACTCTCTACACCCAAGGCTCAAGAATAATCTGGCATAGATGGTTGGGAAGCAGGCAGCTTAAATAGGAAACCTGAACAGGTGGAGTATGAGGAACAGGGCAGAGCTATACAGGTGAGTGAAATGAGAAATCAAGCCAGCCCTCAGCGCCAAAATTATGTCACAAACAATTTCCTTCAAACTTGTTTAACCCCTATTTATGAAGCCAATCAAATATTTTAAAATAGGTCTCAACTAATTTAAGTTCCGGTTGTCTTATCATCTTAATAAACACTATATCAGATATGATGAAGTTTCTAAATTGCACTTTCCGTAGAAATAAACTTTTACAAATTTCCTTACAGTTATATTTTTATTTGTATTAAACTGTTTGTTTTAATTTCATTTCTTTCTTTCTTTCTTTCTTTCTTTCTTTCTTTCTTTCTTTCTTTCTTTCTTTTCTCCATCTCCTTTTCTTTTGCATGCTGTCACTGCATCTGTTTTTGTTGATCATTTATTTCTGATGGATTGAAGCTTCCTATTCCCAGGTACAAAAAGGTAAGCTGCTGAGTTAAGCTCCAAACTTAACTCCCCCCCCCCCCCCCCCCCCCCCCCATCTCCCCCCCTCCCAATTAATCCCTACCTCTGATCCAACCGGCCGACACACCCTTAGACCCTTATCAGACCAACGCCATCTCCTGGTCCTTTCTCCTGAGCTCCGTCTCACGATCCTTGTGAGTTTCTTTTCCTTTCTTTTTACCTTTTTCTTTGATTGTTGCAGAAAACCTGTTTACATTAAATGGGTTGCTTATTTGAGCTAAAGCTCTTTCTTCTTTTTTCAAGAAGTTGCACTCACGGAAAACATATTTTTTTGGGGCGGGGGGTGGAATTCTCCATTTAAAAAAAAAATTCCTGCTTTTTTGTCTTTCACTAAAGCATTCACTTAAATCTGAAGGCCAATATGGAAACAGAGAACTCAGCAGAAACAAGGACATCACAAAGGTTCATCCTCCTGCAGCATTTGTTTACAGTACAATGAAAGAGAAAAATTCTGCCCGGGGGACATTGAAAAACAAAAAAGCATCCTAACCACAGCTGCAAGTCCAGAATAATGCCATTTATGCTTGTGGCTGAGAGAGGAGAGGAAGTACACTGCAAAAACGATCTAGAAATAAGTAAAAATCTCTTAAATTAAGTGTATTCACCCTTAATCTGAGCAGGTCAATGAGACAGTTTGCCAATGGAATGAGTAATTTTACTCTTAAAATAAGATAATTAGATGATATGCAGTTGAAATAAGACAATGCAATTGTGTTTACTTATTTTAAGTGTAAATTGCCTTGTTCCATTGGCAAAATGTCTCTTTTACCTCCTCAATTCAAGAACAAATGCACTTATTCTAAGAAAAAATGACTTATCTAGATTTGGAGTTTTTGTAGTGTAGTCATGCTTATTTTATTCCAGACTGGTGGGAACGTAACAATGCTCAGCCACTGGATAGCATTTTACTGCACATGCATCCTTTCAGATCAACATTGCATCATGTCCTCACCCCTATGACAGCCATGGGTTCTCTCTAATGGTTCTACAGAGCATTGTAATGCTACGTTCAGACCACAAGCAGCAGAAGCAGCAAAAACGCGCATGCTGCTTCATTTTTGATGCTTGTACAAGCTGAGTTCTGACGCGCAGCTGAAGTATGTTTGCTGCTCTAGCTGCACGGTGAAAAAGTGGCTCTGATGTACGTTGGGTGGAGCTATCCTATCCTTTCTTTGCCGGGAACAATGGCAGCTATATTTGCTGTGATCAGTGGGTAAAAAGTAGTTTGAATGCTTTTAAGTGAGAAAGTCCACCATTCTGCCCTCAAAAATTTCGCTGACGGAGACGCTCAGACCCCCGTATAACAGTTGTACGCTGTCACTGGGAATCCCATTCAAAGGCAGCCTCTGGCCCGGTTGCCGCAATGTGTTTTTCCGCTACTGTTCACGGCAGCTGGAAGGCGTTTTTCATGCACGATGCAAACTAAGGCACCAGAATAATAAAATCGAACATATTTTGCTGGCAGGTTTAGTCATTTTAAGTTAATTTAGGTGCTAATAAACAGAGGAGTGATCATAGCGCTCTGCATCAGCAGTGCTGTGTCTGTCTCCCTGCCAGCCCCCAGATCAGCCTCTCTGATTGGTTGATGTGGCTCGTCCAGCAGCTGCTGCTTTTGAAGCACGTAACACGCGTCAGATTCTCAGAGGCTCACGAGGTTCTGCTTCAGCTTCTCAAAATGTGCTGCTGTCATGATTTTTCTAAGGCTCGGACCCACATGCAGTGAAGCCAAACAGAGAGACACAGCATAAAAGTTCAACGGGTTTTATTGAAGAGTATTTTGAGTTTGGTGCAGAGTTCCTCCGAACTCTGCTCGGCCGGGAAACTGGAAGACGAGGGGAAGACAGACTGTTAGATTCAGGCTCAGTGGGGAATTGGAGTTGTTCATCTTGAAGGAGAGGATTTGTTGCTACTCACGTTTTCAGAGAAGAGGAGACACGTAGACTCCAGTCTGTGTGTTGGTCTTCCAGGGTTTGTTTGATTCGGTGGAGGGCGGAACAGGGTTTACCCAGAACTCGGACGGACTGGAATGATGCAGCCGCTGGTTGCAACTCAGTTTTCCTGTGGTACTTGAACGGGTCGTGGTGAAGATGACTTCCTTACTCAGAGTGTGATCTCAGCGTGCTCAAAGGTGGCTGGATCCAAACCTCCTGTTGACTCAGTTGATCCCACTTGGGAGAAGTTTGCAGGAAGGCTTCCTGCCGAAAGGCAAAGAACAAACAAAGTCGAGACTCGGGGAGAAACAAGCGCTCAGTTAAACTCAATGTGATCTCAGCTTGGCTAGAGGACTAAAACTCAAAATGCAAAAACTCAGATTAGACTCAGAATAAACAAGGCCTGGCTAGAGTTCCCCAAACTGGCGTCAAAGTAGTGGCAGCCAGCAGCTTAAGAACAGTCCAGTTATGAGGCAACCGCTTGCAGGTGTGTGGGGAGGTGAACCGGAGCCAGGCGCCTCCTGGTGGTGGAAGGGAGAAACACAAAAGACAGGACAAACAGACGAACACAAAAAACTGGGATCCTGACAGCTGCGCCTTGACGCATGTCAACCATTGACTTTGCATGTAAACTAGTGTATGTATTATGGTTTTATCAGAAGTCCTATTTTGTCATCTTTTCTAACACAAAATGTCCGGAGATAAAAAGTTTTTAAAAAGTATATTATTTTTCCCCATTTTACTGGGGACATGACACGGCACGAACTGAAGCATTTAGTTAAGCTTTGGATGGCTAAAGGTATAGCAACAAACAGCAAGAGAGCCTAATGTTGACTTTTAGAATGGTTGACATAATCATATGATTATCGTAAAAGTTAAAGAACTAAAAGGTGTACAGTATTGAACAGTAAATCACCTTTAGTGTCCAAATGGCGCTTCTGTTACCCTGACAATACCTTTATTACCTTTACATCCATGTTTTCTGAATCGTTACATGTATACTGACAACATACAAATTTATATCACAGTGCAACTGCTTTATTCTCACACACACATTGAGTCAGTGTGTCAACAATAAATTCTGTGATTTTGGTAGCATTAGTCCCTTATTTGCCAGCGTTATAAAGGGGGAACCATATATTTTAGCTGACTGAAATAATCCGTTCCCCCCCATAACATGTGATAAAAATAAATGTACCTGCTTAATTGTGTTTATTCCTCTCTTCATCAACAACAAATCCTGTGATTTTATATATATATATATATATATATATATATATATATATATATATATATATATATATATATATATAATATATATATATATATATATATATATAAATATAAATATGCTACAGTGCAGGGGTCACCAACTTTTTTTAAGGCTGAGAGCTACTTTATGGGTACTGAGTCATAGGACGGGCTACCAATACTGACCTATGAACTAGAGGAGTCGGCGTTCACCTAAACTTTGTAAATAATAAACATATTTCTATTGTTTCTTTTCATTTTTTATTTGCTTTTAGATATTCTCATTATGAAATCCATATAAATCCTCAAATCTTCTAAGTTATTGATATGATAAAATGCTTCATAAATGCTTCAAAATAAGAGCTTCAGTAAAAAATAACATTTCAGATTTAGTCCACTGGTGAATTGTTCTGTTTTCAAAGATGCTGAGGGCACCCCATGTTGTCCTTGAGGGCCCCTTGGTGCCCACGGGCACCACATCGGTGACCCCTGCTACAGTGGGTAGCACTGCCGCCTTGCAGCAAGAAGGTTCTGGGTTCGATTCCCGTCCCGGGGTCTTTCTGAATGGAGTTTGCATGTTCTCCCTGAGCATGCGTGGGTTCTCTCCAGGTACTCCGGCTTCCTCCCACAGTCAAAAAACATGACTGGTAAGTTAATTGGCTTCTCTAAGGCTACGTTCACACTGCAGCCTAAAGTGACCCAATTCCGATTTTTTTGCCCATATGTGACCTGTATCTGATCTTTTTATGACAGTCTGAACGACACAGATCGGATTTTTTCAAATGCGACCTGTGTCTGTACGGCCAGGTCGCATTCATCTGACCTACACGTCATTGATACTTGACAAATGTTACTAAACGTTACTAATCTGCGTCCTACTAAGCGGAGGCGGGAAAAACTAACAACCATGGCGGAAGATAACACAGAGAGCAGTCAATGGAGAGAAAGTGAGGTTGCTGACTTAATTCATATTTGGAAAGATAGCTCGATTCAGACCAAACTTGAAGGGTCTTATCGGAACCGGGGGAGGGTCTTTCTTTTTGATCTTCTTAAAAAGATTTCGTTCGTAATGTGCCTGCTCCTGTTGGAGAAGAACTTAAAGAACGCAATATACGCTGCGGTATTACGAGTCATGTTTACATCCGCAAACACTGAGGACGCTTGCTACATGTGACGTCATCGCGTCCTCGAGTGCGCATGCGGGACACTTCGGTTGAACGCTTTCAGTTCACACAGTAGATCACATACAAGTCGCATATACTTGGAAGTGTGAACGGACACGCAAAAAAATCCGATTTCACAAAAAAATCGGAATTGAGCATTAAGGCCTGCAGTGTGAACGTAGCCTAAGTTCCCCTTAGGTGTGAGTGTGTCTGTTAATGGTTGTTTGTCCTGTTTGTCTCTGTGTTGCCCTGCAATGGACTGGTGATCTGTCCAGGGTGTACAGGTCTCCACCGTAGACACCTGGAAATAGGCACCAGAACCCCTCACGACCCCACTTGGGATTAAGCGTGTCAGAAAATGGATGGATGGATATATACCACCACGTTTGCTTTTAACAGTGAAGATTAATAGTTTTTTATTGCCTTTTATGTTATGTTCCCATGGATTCTTTTGGTAAATGGATTAAAGTTTCTTCTTTTTTATCTTTTTTTTCCAGCTTTTATTGTCATTCCACCGTCACAAGTGAAGAGCAACAAAATTCAGTCTCTGTATTTAACCCATCCCCTTGGGGAGCAGTGGGCTGCCACAGTGCGGTGCCCAGGGAGCAATATA